AATAGTTGGGCTTTATAAGTCTTCCGGTGACTGACTGGCTGTATGTCTACAATCTCGCAAATCCTCAAGTTGAATCTCAAAATAGGGTAATTAGACCTTTACTAATGACGTAATACCGCCGCAAATTAACAAATAAGCAAGCAAACATGCCCGAGAGATACCCACTCTCAGCAACGTAACTACAGTAACAAACTAAAAGTCCATGTCTGACGGCTCAAGAAGCATCTTCATCTGTAATGACATTTGATTGAACTGAAATGAAGAACACATTAAAAAAAAAACAAATAACTTGTATTAACTGTTCATAAATAGTGATCTATTTGGGTAATGACTTGCCTAACCTTATGGCAACTCCGCTTCAAGCTAACCTCTCGGCTCTTGGTCGTGTACTTTGCCTGTGGCAATTAGGGGAGGGTAGAGAGAACTGGGGTTACAACAAATACCTTATAAAAGAGTAGCGACTTAAGGAAAGGTTGTGCAGCTACGAAAGGTACACAAACATCTGAGTATGAGTTTTTGCTTTCTAACAAGACTTGTGCAGAGTTTTCAGTCCAGAGCACTAACTTGATGCTGGAGGAACTAATCAGTACTATTTAAGCAAATGACAGGATGGTTTAACATTTGACATTGCTTTGCTGTAACGGAAATGGTGGATGTCCATAGAAGTTTTAGTAGATGAAAAGGCTGAAATGCAGCACTCAAGTTTTTTGAAGGGAGTTCAAATTTTGTTGTCGCCTTCCAGGCCAATGATGTTCGCGATTACTGGTTCGTTTTTCTTGTTGGAATGGGCATACTCTGCATTCTAGGTTTCTGTAAGAAAAAATATTCAACATCTATCTAACTTTAATTTTTGCTGAATTTACTAGAGGATGCTTCATTCATGCCGCGATAAGCTACTGAAGTTTGTGCCAACTGGTGTCATAAACACCTTTGTTGGATGATAAAAAAAATATCTTCAGTTTGCTACCTTGTTTTCTTTTCAGAGGGTGCAGTGCCGATAGCAAGCGGAAGTGTAGATCACATTTTTGCCTGGCTTTAGCATTTAAATTTTTGCAAAGCAGCAAGCTTGCAATTGAAAAAAATCCACAGCCCTTTCGTTTTTCTCGTCTACGGCAGCGAACAGAATGTGGTTTCAAACCACTGACTTGTTCGTCTTTGAAGCGTATCAGAAGTACACACTGTCAGTTTCAGTAGTTTCTGTTGTTTTCAAAGGTATGAGCATTTTAGGGTCTTTGCTAATAAACCTGGTGGAGTTATTTCTGTATGCATATCTTTGCGGTTGTTTACATACTTATTTCTTAATAGTAAACTTCTCTAAGAATTTTATTAATATACAGCTTTAGCAGGTTGACGACGGAGAAAACAGTATTAGACAAATACTTCAGCTTGTTTTCAAAAGCACATGTTTAAATTTCTTAATACAGTAGAGGGTATTTGGTGATGCTGAAATGGAAAAGCTGAATAGAAAAGCAGTAGATACACCAAAAAAGGATTTAAAAAGTGCTTGAACTGAAGAAGTCAATGCAGTAATCACAACGCTTGTAATCATCATAGCAACTGAGGTAACCACTAAAAAATTAATAGTCACAAATGCTCGCATGTGAACGGAAAACAAGCACTCTCAAGCAATGTTCAAAAACGGTCACAGATTTTGCTCTCATGTCATCCACATTATCCTACAGCGAGGAATTGGCTGCAAAATATTGTTTGTTGATGCTAAGGACCACAACCCACATCTGCTGCTGTTGAAATGACAAGCTACCACTTGATCACAGATATTTCCTAACAAAGGCAACTTAATATTACGGTTTTTGTGGTGCATGTAAATAGCCTTAAAAATCGCTGTCACGGTAACCGACGAGGAACTTGAACTGTCAAGACAGCAAAATCGGATTTTCACGTTCATCTTTTACAGAGTATAATGCCAATTTTTCCTCATCATTAGCCCACTGACTTTAAACATATAAGTGTTCAAAGAACAATCCCAAGACCTGCATAATTAATGACATTTGGAGTGTTACCTAGTAAGAACCCAACTAGTAGTAAAAATTTCAAAAATTCAGTACCCTTGAAGTGTTTGTGAGAATTCAACACGCTTATCTGTTTCGCCCGGATTCATCTCTTAAATTTGATCAATCATTGTTATCCATGCCTTTAACCAGTAATGTTGTTGGCAATTTTCAGCTTCTTTCATTCGCGTTTTCTAACCATCACTAAGTTTTTTAACTTTGGAATACTTTTCACAGAAATATTCCTACACGGTGGAGTAATGAAATAAACATAAAACATCCTAATTTTACCTCTTACATGCTATCATCACGTTTATCAAAATACGAACTTCAAATGTAAATAACAAACAGCATGTCACTTCGCATCCATCCTCCTAACCTACTGCCTAAGCCTAAAAAACTTATTATAATTTACTTAGTTTATATCAATGTTAAGAATAACGTTATTAGATTACTACTCTACAAGTTATCAACCTTACGTTACTGTAAGCCGCTGACGAGGTGCGCAGTCCCATAGTACACTTCCTGATACAAGGTACACGAGTATTTGGGTAAGAATGAAACTTTTGTTACGATCGTTCAAACCATCATCAAAATTAATGCTTAATCTCATTACTCTATCTATATTACTAACAACTTGCAAAAATTTATCCAAAAATTGTATAATTTATATAAATACCAAATAAACTAAACCATTATGAATAAAAAAAACTACTCAACATCACTTCCTTCTAGCTTCGTTGAAATTACTTGCTAGAAAAAAATCTCGCTCTAATTTAATGCTTTTTTCAAGGCTGTTAACATTACTTCTTTCAATCACATAGCGATTCTTGTTAGGATTAAAACTTTTGTCTTCTAAATAGAATACAGCTAGTTTGGTTTTAAAAAAAGAAAAACAGAGAGAATGACTTTAGTCTTCTAGTTGACTGTAGAACTCAGTGATGAGAGACGTGGAACAGCCTGCCATGGACTGCCAGCTAACAAAAGTACATAAATTTATTCCGCATTCTGCAAAATTCTAGACACCAAAGCCGGGTGAAAAGGTGAACTCCAATTCTGCTTGTTTTTTACACTACGGCCTTTGTCAAATAGTTGCTTTTCCAAAAGCTCGTCACACGCGGCGAACAGGATTCGAACCTGTGCGGGCAGAGCCCATTTGATTTCTAGTCAAACTCCTTAACCACTCGGACATCGCCGCAACCAGCTGTTTCCTCTCGTGAATCGGTTTGTGTAACAAACAACATTTTGCATCCACTTTAACTAATAACGAATATTTCAGAAGGACCGCATAGGACGCTCGTTTAGCTCAGCTGACAGGCCAAGACACCGTAAAATTGAAAGTTTTAGGTCAAAGTTCCACGTTGGGCGCAGAATAAACAATTATACGTCATAAGGAGATTTCAATACCAGCACTGCTTAGTTGCAAAGAACTGATGAGAAGTAGATACAGGTGTGTGACTCAAAAAACATGTGCAAAACTATGTCAACGTTAAGAACACTGACAACGACAAATCCGAAGAAAGATGAGGTAGATGAATTGCCGAGCTATTTGCACAAACACTTCTCCCCGTTAAGGCAAGAACGGCCTGTTCCTCACCGCCCCCGAGTGGGCTTGAACCACCAACCTTTAGGTTAACAGCTGAACGCGCTAACCGATTGCGTCACGGAAGCTACCAAGAGTGAACTTTACAAAAATGCGGACGGAGTTGCTTCGAATTATATTTGCTTCCATAACGAAACAAATTTCGGCAGCGCAGTGGCCAAGCAACCGTGCAATAAACAGGAAATCCCCGATTACGTATACATGGCAGTTACATTACTAGTTTGTAAAGCGTAGACGGAGCAGATGTTCGACGAACTGTAATATCTTCACTTCGTCTTCAGCAACAGCCTCAATGCCAACTCCCCTTTACGGTAATTTACTACTGTGACCAGCACCAGTGCTTACTTGTTTTGGCGTATTTCCACGATCCCAGAGCAAACTGAGCCCACGAAGTTGTACTGCTAATCCACCAATGACTGCAAAAGCCAAGTTGAAAAGCTGGCAATCAAGAAACGTTCTGGAGAGATCTGACTTCGCGTCAAAAAGCTTGAGTTGTCGAGCAATGACCTCTACGACACTGAAATTGTGTGCCCTTTTTTTGCCGCAATGATGGCTAAAGGCACTGAAACATAGACCGCCGACACCGTAGTAAGTTGTCGTAATAACTGAGATCTCACCACTTTCTGGCAACTTTCAGAGACGCAATATCTGTACAGCCGATGATACAAGCTAGTCAACAAGGAAATACCAACGACCTCCCAACGTAAGGTCCCGGGGAGATTTGAACTCCCGTCGCAGGATTC